TGCCCTCTCCAGGTGTACCATCCTCCCAGCACTTGATGTGTCCACCAATCCAGAAGCTCTGACACAATCATTTAGGGATTTTTTTTTTTTTTTGGAGACAGTCTCATTTTGTCACACAGGCTGTAGGGCAGTGATGTGATCTTGGATCACTGCAGCCTCAGCCTCCTGGGCTCAAGGGATTCTCCCTCCTCAGCCCTCCAAGTAGTTGGAACCACAGGCATGTGCCACCATGCCTGGCTAATTTTTTGATTTTTTTGTAAAGATTGGGTTTCATCATGTTGCCCAGGCTGGTCTCGAATTCCTGAGCTCAAGCAATCTGCCTTCCTTGGCTTTCCAAATTGCTGTGATTTATAGGCGTGAGCCACCATGCCCGGCTTCATTCGGGGATTTTTATGGAGGCTCTGCTCTGTAAGCACGATTGATTAAATCATTGGTTGGTCGTTAACTCAATCTGCAGCATTTTCCCCCTTCCTAGAGGTTGAGGGATAAGGCTGAGAGTTTCAACCTTCTAAACAAGGCTTGGTCTTTCTGGTGAACAGGCTGTGTTCTGAAGCTATCTAGGGGTCTGCTAAGAGTCTCTTCATTAGAACAAAAGACACTCCTATCACACTACTGTTCATGAAATCCCAAGAGGTTTAGGAGCTCTATGCCAGGACCTTGGGGCAAAGACCAAATCTCTTTCTAATGGCACAATCACACTAAGATGTGCAATCTAAGAAGTTTAAAGAGCTCTCATCCAGGCCAGTGGTGCTCAAAGGGTAATCCCAGGACTAGTACCGTCAGTTTTCCTGGGGACTTGTTAGAAATGCAGATTCTTGGGTACCAATCCAGACTACTAAACCAGAATCCTGGAGGTAGGGCCCAGAAATTTGTGTTTTTATAAAAATTACTTCTAACCCAGGTGATGCTGCTAAAGTTTGGGAACCACAGATGTAGATGAAACTGGTGGCCTCCTTGGTACCCCAGGAATGTCCACCCTCACCTGTAGCACCAGGAGCTGAGGAGGCTGTAGTGCCAGCCACTGCTGTCCAAGGTAGGTCCTTTGTCTGTCTTTCCTTTGCCAGAAGTTGCACTGACAGTTCACCCATAGGGAGGTGCAATCTACAGGGACTTGGAGCTTGAGCAATTATTATTATTATTTTTTGAGATGGAGTTTCACTCTTGTTGCCCAGGCTGGAGTGCAATGGCATCATCTCAGCTCACCGCAACCTCTGCTTCCTGGGTCCAAGTGATTGTCCTGCCTCAGCCTTCTGAGTAGCTAGAATTACAGGCATGTGCCACCACAGTCGGGTAATTTTGTATTTTTAGTAGAGACAGGGTTTCTCCATGTTGGTCAGGCTGGTCTCGAACTCCTGACCTCAGGTGATCCTCCCACCTCAGCCTCCCAAAGTGCTGGGATTACAGGTGTGGGCCACCGTGTCTGACCAGCTTGAGCAGGTCTTTACTGAAGGGAGAGAATGGTCTAGGTTTTGACTACACAGTTTGGTCCTTTACAATGGCATCTGCAAAATGAGGCTAAAGCCTTTAGAGTGCTGTTGCGAGGCCTCAAAGGTGTTTGCAAAATGTCTAACATCATACTAGACACAGAACAGTCACTTGCTATATGGTGGTGGTAGTTGTACCTGACACTGCCTATCACAACCATAGCAGATGTTCAGTAGATGTGAGTGATTGTTAATTGGTTCACTGGAGAAGGAAGCAGGCTTTTCTAGCTTGTTTCTCTGATTTTGCCAGCCAAGATGTCTTAGTCTGTTTTGTGCTGCCGTAACAGAAAACCAAGGACTGGGCAATTTAAAATGAACAGAAATTTGCTTTGGCTTATGGTTTTGGAGGCTGGGAAGTCTAAGATCGAGGGGCTGTATCTGGTGAAAGCCTTCATGCCACATCATAACATGGTGGAAGGCATCACATGGGTGATGAGATGCCTCTTTGTGCTGTGGTTTCAATGTGTTCTCCAAAGTTCATGCGTTGGAAACTCGATCCTCAATGCAACAGCACTGAGAAAGAAGACCTTCAAGAGGTGATTAGTTCATGAGGGCTTTGTCCTCATTAATGAACACAAGGAGGCATAATATAAGAGATCATAATTAGGAAGGAGAAAAACAGGCAGGGAAGGTGGGAGGGTGGGAAGAAAGAAGACAGAAAGGATGTCAATGTTCATGAGAACAATGGAGACAATGACCATTTTCTTGGAAGAACAAGGAGGTATGAGATATTGAACACATATGGTCATTATTTCTTCTTCTTCTTCTTCTTCTTCTTCTTCTTCTTCTTCTTCTTCTTCTTCTTCCTTCTTCCTTCTTCCTTCTTCCTTCTTCCTTCTTCCTCTTCCTCTTCTTTTCTTTGAGATGGAATCTCACACTGTCACCTGGGCTGTAGTGCAGTGGCACTATCTCAGTTCACTGCAACCTCCGCCTCCCAGGTTCAAGCGATTCTCCTGCCTCAGCCTCCCAAGTAGCTGGGATTACAGGTGCCCACCAATGCACCCGGTTGATTTTTGTTATTTTTAGTAGAGATGGGGTTTCACCATGTTGGCCAGGCTGGTTTCGAACTCCTAATCTCAGGTAATCCACCCACCTCAGCCTCCCAAAGTGCTGGGATTACAGGTGTGAGACAACGCAGCCGGCCGATCATTTCTTCTTAATTCCAGTTATAGGATTTCAGAGCTGCAAAAGGGAACTTGGAGATCACAGAGCCACTTCCTTACTGCCCAGGGGAAGCAGTGAAGGCCCCGAGAGAGCAAGTGTCAGAGACAAGAGCAGAATTAGTTTCTGAGAATAGGCGCTGCCTGCTACATCTCACCATAACTGGAGCTCATTTATCTCCATGGAAACCTTTGAGGACTGTGAAAGTACCAAAGATGTGGGCAGCACTCTGAGTGTGATTTATTTCCTTTCTATCTCTTTTCTTTTTGTTCTCATTCTTAATCATAAGCTTCTCCTCCCTCCTTTTCCTCTCCTCCATTCCTTCTCTTCTTCCTTTTCATGATTCTCACCCATAAGGACCCGGCCTAAGCTGGGAAGTTGAGGTTACTGGATCTTCAAAGTGGCTCTGACGCTCCCAGTCCAACATACCCTACATCATTGTGTTCTTTACAAAGCATTGGCTTCTGCTGACCAAAACTCACAATTGGCTCTGACTGGGCACCAGGGTGCTGACTACTATCAGTAGGAAACATCTCATTTGGTTCCTTGAAAACACTTGTGACCCCTGAATAGCCAGAAACCACCGTGGAAACATAATTCAAAAGCTGCCTCTCCTCCTGTGGATCTTTAACTTTTTTTTTTTTTTTTAGATGGAGTCTCATTCTGTTGCCCAGGCTGGAGTGCAATGGCACGGTCTTGGCTCACTGCAACCTCCACCTTCCAGGTACAAGCAATTTTCCTGCCGCAGCCTCCCCAGTAGCTGGGATTACAGGCGCGTGACACCATACCCAGCTAATTTTTGTATTTTCAGTAGAGACGAGGTTTCGCTATGTCGGCCAGGCTGGTCTTGAACGGCTGACCTTGTGATCTGCTCGCCTCGGCCTCCCAAAGTGCTGGGATTACAGGCGTGGGCCACTATGCCCGGACTTTTAACACTTTTTTTAATCTCTTGCAAAAGGTGGTTGTGAAAATGGTTGCTCTGTGGCCGGGCATGATCACTCGAGCCCAGGAGTTTGAGACCAGCCTGGGCAACATGGTGAAACTCCATCTCTAAAAACGAAAAAAAAAAAAGAAAAAAAAAGAAAAAGAAAATCCTTGCTCTGTTTTGCAGGCAGCGTGCAAAGTGCCAAACTTCACAGCGGGAAGAACCTCCTCTCTCCAAATCTCATGACACAGGTGAACTAACGTCGCTTCTCAACTACAGCCCACAATTGCTAGAGAAAGCATTAAAAATACCCTCCGCCCCCTGGGATGGGGGACTACTCCTAGAATTTGGATCCAGGGTGTTTGCGGCTCGGCTTTTTACATATCGAAGAGGAAAGAGATGGCTGAGAACATCCGCATGGGTGGTCCCGCCACGCCACCGGCTGAGTATTCAGGGACTCCCGCTGTAGAAAGGATTGGGGGACAACCTGACCGAATTCGCATTTGCTCAAGTGTTTCCCATGGCGCTCTGCTGAACTGGGGTTAGTCTTTCGCTGCCAGTCAGAAAGTGTCTGGGCCCAACTAGGGAAACCACGGGATAATGGGCTGATGGGGAGGAGGACCGGCATGGAAGATGTGCCACAGCCTCTCCAGAACGTAGCACTGGCGCGCCTGACTGGTGACAGACGGAGCAGTGGCAAGGGCGCAGCTGCACCAAGGAAAAAGCCCACACAGGGGGTGAGCGCGCCCATGCGTGCCCAGTCATGTTGGAGCGCAGCCCAGGCGCTGGGCTTCCAGTGCAGGTGTGGCCAGCGGAAGCCAAGAACTGCGTGGAAAACCTCAAGGGGGGAAAACACACGCCAGCCGCCCCCCGGGTCAGAAGGTGGGGCAAGCAGCGGCGCCTCACCCAGCCTCCCGCTCCGGGTCCTGCCGGATGGCGGCATCTCTTCGGGTCAGCCCCCTTCTCTCCGCTGCTCCTCCGCAGACACCGCGCCGGGAAGAAGGAGGGGCGGAGACCAAGCCGGCGCGCGTCTGGTGATCCCGACCCCGGTGCGGCTGGAGCGCCTCAGTCGCTGTCTCCCTGCCCCACGGTTCCGAGTAGGGACCGTGAGTCGCCGCCACACCAGGGGCTGGAGCGCGGGCTCCCAGCAGGGAAAGGGGCGCAGCGTTCCCGACCCCTAAACAAGCGGCGCTTGGGCGCGTGCGCGCCTCCCGGAGAGCCCCGGGCGCCACCTGCGGGCGGGAAGAGGTGGGCTCCGGGGAGTGGGGCGTGGGGCGGGCCGCGCAGAGGAGCCGCAGCCACCTGCCGCCTCCCCTGCACCCGGCGAAGCATCCCTCACCTCACAGTCCCTGGAGGCGGCGCCGGAAACCCGGCGGCCGGGACCGCGATTCTGGAAGCCCTTGCCCTCGCCCAGCCGGAGGAGCCTGGACGCGGTTCCGGCGAGACTGGCAACTTGCTTCCTTTTGCAGAGCGGCCGCTCCCCTCTCGGTCCAGCTGCGACGCTGGGAAAGCGCCAGACTTGGTCTGTCACAGGAGCCCCCGCGAGGCGTGGCGAGGGAGAGCTGGCAGCGGCTGCGAGGGACTCTCGATCCTTGACTGGAGAGCCAGGAAGAGGGCGAGGGCAGAGCATCCTCGGGAGGAGATGCCTTTAAAAAATCATCCACAGCAGCGGTAGAAACAGTTTTGTTTGGCTTTATTTATACAGAGTGGTTTTTCAGTGAAATGCTGTCTTGCTTAAAAGAAGAGATGCCCCCCCAGGAGCTCACCCGGCGACTGGCCACAGTGATCACTCATGTCGGTAAGCAAAGCTTTAATTTTTCCTGCGTTTTATTAATGGCGGGTGGGGATGGTCTCTGGGCTTGGTCTGACTCCCGGCCTCACCCGGGGCAGCGCGCTCCCTGGGGGCTTGCCCGGCGTCTGGGCCTCGCTGCTCTGGGTCCTGCTTGCGGTGCCCAGCCGGGGGCATCCCTGGGGCGCGCCGCTGGTGGGGGTCGGGGGGCCGAGGCTGGTGCCTTCACCAGGTGGTTGCCATGTCCGTTGAGCTCCAAACCGAGGGCTGCTGAGCTGTTACCATCCGTTAGCCGCTTCTGACGGGAGTAGGGTGGGTGGGAAGTTACGTTCTGGTTCTGGGGATAGTGAGGAAGGAGAGGGCGTAAGAGGAACGAATGCCAGTATTTTTCAGCAGAAATGACTGCCACGCCACTGAAGGCTTGTTTATAAGAAAGTGCAGGGAGAGGCAGGTTAGATGGAAGCGCCCCTGCGCAGCCCGGCCCCTAGGCCTGTTACTGTGCTGCCTGGAGGCGTCAGCACACCCCTGATGATCCCCACGAGAAACCTCTGCAAGCCAAGGATACTGAGCAATATTAATCCTCTTCCCTGAGTTGAAAAGAGGAGCAAAACATTCATTGCTTACTCCTGAAATAAGGTTCGTGATGGAACGTCAGGCCCCACAGACTAAGGGAAGGAGGACATTGAGACAGTTCCCAGTTTTATCTCAGCACTTTCTTCCCCTAGGTCTTCCCTGGACCTCCCTCAATAAAGACACACATTCAGGTTCAGAACCTTTGGATGTGGGCTACTGGAATTATCGGGATCATTTTCTGTTGCTGACTGCACTTGGAGGTCCTCCCATGAATGCAAATCAGCTTTTATTGATAAAGCCAGGAACTATTTGCCTTCGTTTTCTACACATTTGTGAAAGCTGCTTTCTTGGTACTTGCATGTTAAATATTACCTCAATTAGTCCAATGTGTTTGCTGTAATAATCACGCACATCTCAAATGATACACTTGTGAGGACAGACTTTGTAAAGATGATTTATATGGGAAGGCCCAGTTTTCATAATTCAGGTTTAGAAAAGAGTTTCTAGTGCCAAATGTGGGCACTGAACTTTTAAGACAAGAGATCAGTAGGATCCTACCAGGTAAGGTTGAAGTGAAATATTGCTGAAGGCAGTGTGAAATAAGAGGAAAAAGAACTTGTAATGAAACAGAATTTGGAATCTGAAATATGATGAAAGCTGAAATGATTGTGCTAAAACCCAGCGCAGGCATGAAGTTGTGGTATAGAGAAAGAGCAGTGGGCTGGGGGTATGACTGTCTGGATTTGAATCCTTCCCTGGACAAGTCATTTAACCTCAGGTTGAAAAACAGGAATTTTAATAATACTCTCCCACTCAGCTCAAAGGCTATTTGTGAAGATAAGTAAGATAATGTGGGTAGAAATACTGTGTACACTGTGATTATACAGACATTCCAGTTATTGGACATATCCCTGGTCCCTCTGCACGCCACTAGAGATCTTTGGTAGGTTACTGGGCCTGTCTCAGGGCGAAGCCTCCCATCTGTTAAACAAGAGGGTTGACCTGGTTGATTTTAACTGTCCCTCCTATTTCTCTGGAGCAGGCTGTTCTTGAAATCTGGCAGGCAGTATTCCTTGACTAACACTTAGCTGCCTGTGGCCCCCAGGCTATGGTATTTTCTTGCCTACCTTGCTCCCTCCCTCCTTCCATAGACAGCTCCATACAAGATACACATAGGAATTTGTTGTAGTTTCTGCTCTCAACTTCTAATGACCCTTGGCTTTTGTGCGCTTTGCAAGATTCTGTCTCCTCATACTTAATCTAATAAAACCTGTGAAATGGGTGGGGTACTCATTACTACCCCTATCTTACAAATGGAGGAATTGACTCAGAGAGGATCATCTTTTTTTTTTTTTTTTTGAGATGGAGTTTCACTCTTGTTGCCCAGGCTGGAGTGCAATGGCATGATATCGGCTCACCCCAACCTCTGCCTCCTGGGTTCATGTGATTCTCCAGCTCAGCCTCCTGAGTAGCTGGGATTACAGGCATGTGCTACCATGCCCAGCTAATTTTTTTGTATTTTTAGTAGAGATGGGGTTTCTCCATGTTGGTCAGGTTTGGTCTCGAACTCCTGACTGCGAGTGATCCGCCCACCTCAGCCTCCCAAAGTGAGAGAAGATCATCTTTTAAGGTTTCAGGGGGAGTGAGTGGCAGACTCAGGGCTGGAAGGTTGCTCTTTATATCGCCTGTTGGGGGACCTCAAGGTGGAGGGGGGCGTTTCTCTAACCCTGCAACAGCCTCTGCCTTCACAGAGGGTCGCCTTGGGTAGCCAGTGGCGCTTCTCAAGGATGGATTGGCTCTATCCTTGCCTGTTTTTTTCAGGTATTTCCTTATCAAGTAGCTTCTGAGGAGGTGATCATGAGTTGGGGAAGGTTTGAGAGGTGCTTAGAGCAAGGCTTTGGGTTAGAACATTCTCCTGGTCCTATCCTAGCCACTTTCCAGGGTAGCCACACTGTCTTCCATATTCACTCAGCCTGCTCTGACCCTGAGTCAGTTTCTCCTCCAGCAGGGGTTTCTGCTCTTTCTACGTCCCTTAGACTTGATAATTGAGTTATCCCTCCTCACCCACTCCCGTATTTCCAGAAGTGTCTTGGCTGCTGTTGATTCAGTTTCTGAAATACCTCACAGCTTTTTTCCCTCATGTCCATCCCCACTGCTACCTGCCTCAATCCTACCTCAGGACTTAATTTCCTTCTACCTAGCCATTGTGCAAACCTCCTGTCTCTCTGTGTCTGCCTCTGATCTATGCTAGGAGTCAAACAAACACGACACTCTATGTTACAAAGCTTTTAATAATACCTGCACCTAGTCATTCTCTGCAGCCTAAGATACAAGCTCTTCACTGTTGGGCCTATAAAGTTCTAGCTTTGTCTCCTAATACTTGAGATTTCTACACCTGTGGTTGGTCAACTTGAACTCATCTGTTCTTTGGCTCTGTCCCATTATATTTTCCAGCCCTTTTCTCACCTCTAAGTATTTGCACTTTTACCCCCAACCTGGAATAAGTCTTTAGTATATTTCTTCTCACAGAAATAGTACACATCTTTGAAACCCAGTGCAATGCCATCTCCTTCATGGTGTCGTTTCTGATCTTGCTAGTGGGACATGATGACTCCTGACTCTGAATTCCAAAGTAAGCTTTGTTCTGCTCACATGATGCCTATCATACTCTCCCCTGTATTATGGTTACTGGGTTATTCGCATGCTTGTTTAACCCTCTCTGCTTCTGGACTCTTCATTACTTATGAAGAGTCTTATGTACCCCTAGATAGCCACTTAACACAGGGCCTCACTCTGAGGAGATGCAGAATAAATGTTTGCTGAATAGATGAATGAATGATTGTGTTTTGGAATGAAGCTGGAGTACCAGGCAGTTTTTACACTTTTAAGGACAGCTATAAAATATTTGAAGATAACTATTTTGTTTCCAAACCCCCATTTGAAAGGAAATGTGAAGCCCTTTGTGTGTTCCTCATGTGGTGTGCTTCACTCTAGGGTCCTCCTTCTTTGGATTTTGTCCATTTGTCAGGAACTCTTATAAAATATGTAGTTCACATGTGAACACATGTCTAGATGTGTTTTTATCCATGCAGGACAAATGTAGGACCATCCTTTCCCCTTGATTCTGGACCGTAGAGTCACATTGGTTTACAGAATTCCAGTGTGAGAAAAGTGTTGGTTGATTTTCCCCATCCTGTCCCTTTCAGCTGTTGAAATATCTGCAACTTTTGCTGTACTGCTGTTTATATGTGGAGGTGCTGTCAAAGTAACGTGGACTATCTATGAATGCATCTGAAATTGCTCTAGGATTTTGATAGACAGGGCACATATGGCTCACACGGGGGCTTCCAATCACTGGAAACCCATAGTCATCAAGATGGGCCATGTTGCCGGGCACGGTGGCTCACACCTGTAATCCCAGCACTTTGGAAGGCTGAGGCAGGCAGATCACCTGAGGTCGGGAGTTCAGGCTGACCAACATGGAGAAACCCTGTCTCTAATAAAAATACAAAATTAGCCAGGCATGGTGATGCATGCCTGTAATCCCAGCTTCTTGGGAGGCTGAAGCAGGAGAATCGCTTGAACCCGGGAGACGGAGGTTGCAGTGAGCCGAGATCGTGCCATTGCACTCCAGCCTAGGTGACAGAGCAAGATTCCGTCTCAAAATAAATAAATAAATAAATAAATAAAATCTAAAAAATGGTCCATGTCAGTAACCCCCCATAGAGGTTTTGCATTTCCATCCTGGCTCACTTTCTACCTTGCTACCTCATATTAGAAGTGATTATTTTACATTTTGATCTTATCATTGTTCTAAAATGACTTCATACGTTTGGCTACATCCAATTACCTGTGAAGCAGAAAAGAATATCTTTTGAAACATTCCTTATATAATTGGAGATCGGATTGGTGGCTCTTTTGGTGACAGAGGCTCTAGGAAACTGATCTGTAACCCAGGTTGCTACTTCTGGGACACAGTCAGCATTGATAACATGCAGCCAGAAGAATACTAAACTGAGGAATTCAGCCCATGGCTCATTATTAAACAATGTTGTTAGCAGCTGAAATGTGTAGGGTCCATGCCTCAGCTGTTAGTACTGAAAGAAGAGTCTAATTAGAGTAGGGTATCTGCTACTCAGGTGGGAATGTGCCCAGTGGGGATGGCTGGACATGTTCCCCCATCTGGCTACACTTGGGCTCTTTTTTGATTGGGCTCTGTAGACACTGTGCCTAGTGTTCACAGACTCTTCAAGGCCTACTAAAAATGTTTGAACCCTAAAAAAAATTGATCGACAAATTTAAAAGTGCAAAATAAAATTTAAGAAATGTTTAAATGTCTACAAAAGCTCTCTTGCCCTTAACATTTTGTTACATTTAAAAAGAAACAGTTGCGGAGTTGGAATTCCATTTCCAGAAATGCCAGTGCGAAGAGTCAC